GATTTTCAGGGCATAAAGGACCTCCAAATTCACACAGTAATATTCAGGAGCGGGCCTTCTTGAAGATATATATTTGTGCTTCATATTTATCACCTTCTTCCTGGCATTTGCACCCCAATTATCCATAAAATACAACCACCCAGAACAATGACAAATCCCACATAACAGTAAAATAAAAGCTGCACTGGAAAAAAAAAGTCTTATATTACTTTGACTTATAGCGCCGTAAAAAAATATAGGCTAGGTAGAGGTGCAGTGCAAAATGTAATATAATTAAAATGTAGATTAAGTCACAGAACAAGAAAGAAGGAACATGGAACAGCAATCTAATTAATCTGACATAGCATCCTAGCACTGAGTGGGATGCTAAGAGCTCTTGTAGTGTAACCCCTTGCCTGGAGCAGAAATCCCAAACCAGTGGGTATCCAATCTTGATTTGAAAACTTCCGGAATGCCATTATCAAGGCTTTTAAGCGAGGGGCGTGTTTCAGTTCATAATTTTATAGCTTCTGGGTCTCCTTCACTACAGGTGGCCCTTCGCTTACAACCACAATTAAACCCAACATTCCTGTGGTTAATTGACTGGCTAATCTCCTTGATTAGTTTCCATCCATTGCTTCTTGTCCTGTCTTCAGGTGCTTTGGAGAATAGCTTGACTCCCTCCCTCTTCTTTGTGGCAGCCCCTCAAATATTGGAAGACGGCTATTTCTCTTCATTAAACTAGACATATCCAATTCCTACCACCGTTCTTCATATGTTTTAGCCTCCTGTCCCCTAGTCCTCTTCGTTGCTCTTCTCTGCACTCTTTCCCAGAGTCTCAACATTTTATTTTTCATTGTGGCGACCAAAACTGGATGCAGGATTCCAAGTGTGGCCTTACCAAGGCATGATAAAGTGGTATTAACACTTAACATGATCTTTGATTCTGCGATTGTGACTTTTTTGACCCATCCTGTGGACCACCCTGGTGTGGCCCTCTAATTTTGACAACCTCAGACCTCCCAAGTATCTTAAATATTAAACATTCGGGGTCTTTTAACCCCCCTCAGATTTGTCCACCCTGTTCTACCTTCGTAAAAGAAACCATTTTGGAGAAACAGAGGGACTATGTTGTGTTTTTTTTTTGTTGAAGCAAATAAGAAAATAAAACATATTTGACAATCATGCAGGAAGTGTGACCCTCCTTCCATTTCTAAGGCTCAGGGATAGGAGTTAAAAATAAATTAAAATTCAACGAAAAACAAAAACTTTCTTGCCTGAGCGATGGGGCCTCAAACGGCAATTTTCAAAAACAGAAGAGGGTAGTAGAAATGACAGACCAATCCGATAAACAGTTTAATCCACAGAATGAAAGAATGTGGCGGTATGCTTTTTAAAAGTGGCAAGATCACATAACATAATAAGGTTAGAAGGGACCTTGAAGGTCTTCTAGTCCAACCCCCTGCTCAGGCAGGAGACCTCATATCAAGTAAATAAAACAATGCTTTATTTTTCATGGTATAAAGTCACTTTTCTCAGGATGATGCTTGTCTGTTGACTGGTAAATCCTTTTTTTTGTAACAAGTTTTATTAGTTTTCCAATTTTACATCCAAACATTTAGGAAGCAGCGTGGTGGTTGGGTGATCAACGGTGCAATCAAGAAATCTTTCATATATATCTCAGGTTACATCATTAAAGTTTCCCTCTCTATTTCCCTTACTTATTATATCAGATTCAAGTTAAAACATTGCTAATTATAGCTCCACCCATCAATACATTTGTCGATATAATTTTAAATATACATATCCAAGTCCTGTTTTGAGTTTTACCTAATTTCAATTAATATATTCCAATTTAGGCTTTAATATCCATAATAATATTATATAATAATAATAATAATAACCCAGAATTTCCTAATTTCATTACAGAGTAGTTATCATAACTAGGATACACCTATTATTCAGTTAGTTACATTCTTATTTTGTTTCACAAGTATGTTCTATTTCTCATCCTAATACCACATCGTTTACTAATAAGATATCTTTTGTAATCACAAACCAACTTCCGTATTACAATTCAAAGCTATAATCTAATAGCTAATTTTCATTTCTCTTATAAATCTAAATCCTAAATATTACATCAATGAGTATTTTTAAGAATCTCCTTAACCTATTGAGTAAAATCTTAAGCTCTTCCATTATCTGTTGACTGGTAAATTCTTATGACTCCCAAGCCTTGGACCTGCTGGCTGAGGAAGATGGGTTTGGTGGTTCAAACTGCCCAGGAGGCAGGAAGCTGGAAACAGATGGAGTAAACAACTCGCTATGGAGAGCAGAGAACCAACGAAGGGATGGAATGACGTAGAAAAAAAAGGAGGTTTTCTAGGTGTCCTATTTTTAGAAGCCATCTGTCAGCTAGCCAGTCTGATTTCCTGTCAGCTAGTAGTATTAACAGCGTTATGAGACTCACAAACAGAAAATGCTCCACTGGTGGGTGTGAATTTCTGGACAGCGGCTACAACATCTGTGGATTGCAAGGGGAGGCAGAGAGACACGTACCCATTAGAACTTGGTTTTCCACTGTAGTGGAAAGTGACAAGACGGTTTCAATGTTGATTCACTTCATTGAAATGAAGGGTGGAAAAAAAAGGAAGAAGCAGGTGTCAGGAAAAGACTCTGCTGTCCGGTGGTCCCACCAATTTTATAGAATATAAAACCATAGGGCTGGAAGGGACCTTTGAGGTCTTCTAGACCAACCCCCAGCTCAAGGCAAGAGACCCTATACCATCCTGGTCAAAGAGTTGTTCCAGTCTACTTAATGAAGAGAAGGAATAGGGGTGAGATGATAGCTGTCTTCCAATATCTCACAAAGAAGAGGGGATCAACCTACATGGAGAAATTATTGCAGATTTATATTAAGAAATCAGCTTTCCACATCTGCTTTCAGAAGAGCACCTCAAGGGACCTTGTAGGTCATCCAGTCCAACCCCTTGTCCAAGCAGGAGCCCCTACATCATTTCTGACAGATGTCAGACCATTCTCTTCTTGAAAGCTTCCAATGATGAAGCTCCCACAACTTCTGAAAGCAATCTGTTCCATTGGTTGATTGTTCTCACTGTCAGAACTCACAGTCTAGTCCTCCTTCAGCCACAGAGGTTCATGGAGTGATTTTGAGATCACCACTCACTCTCTCTGAGAACCAAGGTGATCCACTTATGAAGATGTTGGACTGACGCCAAGTAGAATCCAGTTTTATCCTTCCTTCCCTGTCGTGGAAGCTCTGGAGGACTTTGGGCTAGTCCTTTCTTCTCAGCCCAAGAACCAGGATGATCCAGTGGTGGAAGTGTTTTTGTAGACATTGAGAAAAACCTACCGTAGGTTCTGGTCCACCTTCATGCATGGAAAAGACAGTGTTCAAGTGGTACTCCAGTTGTTGTAGGTAGGATCACTCCAAGGAGCCTATTATCATCGGTACTACTTATTATTAAATCTGCCAATATAAACCATCTATTGCTTTATCTTTTCAATCCTTTAACAATTCATTGAATCTAGCCATATGGACCATTCATGGTTCCATCTTCTCAGTTTGTAGACACTTTTCTGAAAAAAAAAAACAAAAACCCAAATGCTTCTACTCAGAATGCTTTCCACACCGCAATCATTAAAAAGTTGCAGTAAAATTAGAGAACAATTGCATTTTATAGACTCTCAAGCTCCTTTCATTCTTGAGTTTGAATAAGTGATTGTGCATGTGTGTAAAACAGAACAGAACAGAATAGAACAGTTGGAAGGGACCTTGGAGGTCTTCTAGTCCAACCCCCTGCTCGGGCAGGAAACCCTAAACCATTTCAGACAAATGGCTGTCCAGTCTCTTCTTAAAAACTTCCAGTATTGGAGCATCCACAACTTTGGAAGACAAGTTGTTCCACTGATTAATTGTCCTCACTGTCAGGAAATTTCTTCTTAGTTCTAGGTTGCTTCTCTCCTTGATTAGTTTCCATCCTTTGTTAGTCATGAATTTGCTTTTTTTTTGATATAAAGCGGGAATAAAAAACTGAAGATACTGCGTGCAAAAGCATGCTTAAAGCCACTTTTATTTTTAATATTAATGGTGAAAGAGAATAGAAGGGGCTAAAATAACAGTGATCTTAACAAAAAATATCACAGGATTTGGTGGTATATTATTTCAAGTAAAGCTGCTGATGACAACAAGGCACTGGGTTGTTATTTTCCATTATTTATTCAGTTTTTTCCCATTCTTTGTTCTAGCCTTTGAACAGGTATGATCTGAAATCTACCTTGTTCAATTCAATGGGCTCTATCTTTCTGTTTAAAGTTTCCGACAAAATGCAATGTTTTCTTGCTGAGACCATCAGCAAGTTCTTTTATTGTTCTTATTTTTCTTTGTCTCGAGCTGCCCAATCAATGGGGAGATAAAATTATTTTAAGAAATTTGAAAATTAATTCCCTATGGAAACACTGCCTGAACAACACAACTGTTTTTTTTTTAAATGAAAGATTATAGTTCTCTTTTTCCGACTGTGTCTTTTTTGTAAAAAAAGAATTTCTGTAATACTAGAGCAGGGTAACATTTTGTGAAAAATAGCCACCTGTCAGTTTCCTGAAAGTTGCCTTCCATTATGAAAAAGGCCCAACCTTACTCATTCTCAGATTTCTTTAGAATTTGAGATAGTTTTGAGTTTCGTAAGTTAATGGAAAGTGCTGGTTAATATTTTTTTTTTTGGTTGCATATCTTTTTCTTTCACATCTTAGACTAACTTTAGAAAAAATCTAAGGGGCAGGTTTAGGCCCAACAGGAATATTGGGAAAAAAGCAATTTATTTTCTTGAAAGAAGCTATTTTTGGGGGGGAAAAAGCTAAAAGGTATTTATTTTATTAAAAGAAGCCATTTATTTTATTGAGGAATGCGTAACCAGCAGCCTCATAGTGAATGCGGTAATATTCATCAATCAAGTCTTATAAAGCAATGAAAAATATAGGAACAGGCAGATGGTGTGCACGCTAGTTTTATTCAACAAACATTTTCAAATAATAAACATTTGGCATCAAAACAGCAAAACAGAAGGGAGAATTAAATGGATGGAAGCTTTGAAGATTTTGCCTTCCGATAGAGCACCGTATAGTGTATTTTGAAGATCTGCTTTAGATCTAAAAAACAGAGACAAAACAGATAAATACAAAAAACACAACCCTGAATAATATGATGTTGTATCTGAGCCTGAACATAACATTCTTCACTTGATTGGCCAAGAGGTAAATGTAGCAATTAATAGTTTGTAACTTCCTCAATTTTCTGTAAATGCAAACATTTCTTAATAGCTGGATGATGTTTTGAGCACACTTCAGTTCTTGGCATCAAAGAGCATCTGACTTTGTTTATTCACATCTTACTGCTACTCTTTGGAAATGCGTACAACTTTCATATTTTCAAGTCCCTCTTGCCCAAACAAGTTTACTTTCCAATAATCACCTTAAAATGTTCCTAACTATCCTCCTGAATGGTTTAGATGTGCATAATGTTGTCTTTTGTACAGTTTCATCTATTAAAATAATTTGCTCCCTTTTTCTTTCCCTAGTCTCTGATCTCACTTCCCTCCCTCCTTCCATTTTAAAATTCCATCCATCTATCCATCCATCCATCTTAACCTATCTTCCTTCCTTCCTTCCTTCCTTCCATTTTAAAATTCCATCCATTCATCCGTCTATCCATCCATCCATCTTAACCTATCTTCCTATCTTCCTTCCTTCCTTCCTTCCTTCCTTCCTTCCTTCCTTCCTTCCTTCCTTCCTTCTTTCCTTCCTTCCCCCCTTCCTTCCTTCCTTTCTTCCATTTTAAAATTCCATCCATTCATCCATCTATCCATCCATCTTAACCTATCTTTCTTCCTTCCTTCCCCCCTCCCTCCCTCCCTTCCTTCCTTCCTTCCTTCCTTTCATTTTAAAATTCCATCCATTCATCCATCTATCCATCCATCCAACCTATCTTCCTTCCTTCCTTCCTTTTTAAAATTCCATCCATCCATCCATTGATCTTAACCTTCCTTCCTTCCTTCCTTCTTTCCTTGCTCTCTTCCTCCCTTCCTCATCACATTGACCAATCTGGGTTCCTACATCATGCTTTTCAAGGTTTCCTTAAACATGGTTTATTGAGTACACGATAGTAGACTAGTTTACAGACAACACTACCTGGAGTCACACAAGTTGTGAAGCTAAACTCAATTAGCCACACATCCAGATTCCTTCCCTCTATACCTTTTTTTGGCATACAAATATTGAAGCTTAAACTTTGGAGCTTTCTTAAGTTTATGATATTTTCCATGTTTTTTCTTTTGCATGTGTATACTTTCTGCAGGGTGGGGATACTTTAGTATACTATTTTTTTTTAAATTTTAGAGTAACTTTTTTTTTTAAAAAGAGGTCACTTCTAAAGGAAAATTAAAACATTGCCCTGCCACATAAAACTTGAATTCCTTTGGAGTAGTTGATTTTATTTTGAGAAAGCTTTGTTGTAGCTGATTGGTCCATCAGGGCAAACCGAGTCAAATCAGATCAATCCAATCAATTAGAGGTCTATATGGAGATTCTCAGTCATCCAGGTCATGGTTGTCCCAAAGGTGCTTTTTCGAGAAGCAACTGGACCTTTTTTTTTGTTTGTTTTCTTTGAAAATGTTTCTCTTCTCATCCAAGAAGCTTCTTCAGCTCTGGAGCATCTTGGATGAGAAGGGAAACATCTTCAAAGGAAAAACAAGGAAGTCCAGTTGCCTCTTGAAAATACTTCTTTGGGCCAATCAATTAGACTTCTAGCCCCCCCCCCTCACTTTTTTTTTTAAGTAGGAAGATCTGTGCATGTACATTTATATCCAATTGTCCAAACTGACTGGTATGTTCAAGTCAATGGCCTAAATTTAATTAAACTGGATGCTCGAGTTGGCTCAAACCAGATTCACACATAGCTATAATATTTTCTAAGCAGCAGAAATGAAACTCATTAAAAAGCTCCACAGCATATAATATATCGTGATGGTAGCAACTTAAAAATGTCAGGTAGAATAAGCATTTCCTGCCTGGTGCTGTAAAGATTAAGAAAGAAGGTGTCAGATCTATCTTCCCAGGTTGGGAAGTGCTAAGGAGGGAAACGAACAGAGGATAAATATTCTTCCCACAACCAAAGAAATACCTTCATTGGGTACAAGCCATAATCCAACAATAACATCTGCATTCTACACAGATGAAATGTGAATAATCCGGCAGAGGATGGGATACAATAAAATGGACAGTGAAATGTATCTCCACTTTTAGATGTATTGGGATGTTCATACCTACCTAGTTACAACAGATAGTACTTACCAACCTACATAACATACACACCTAGTTCCAACAAAAAGAAGGACTAGGGAGTGATATGATATGATATTATATGATGTGATGTGATATGATATGATAGTATTGATGGGGCTGACACAATGAAGAGAGTGGTCAACCTATTCTCCAAAGTACCTGAAGGCAGAACAAGAAGCAACGGATGGAAACCAATCAAGGGAATGGCAACCTAGAACTTAGGATAAATTTCCTGACTGTTGGAACAATTATTGATGGAACAACTTGCCTCCAGAAGTTGTGAATACTCCAACACCAGATAAGAAGACATTGGACAGCAATTTGTCTGGAACAGTATAGGATCTCTTGTTTGAGCAGGTGGTTGGATTAGAAGACCTTTGAGGTCCCTTCCAAACCTATTGTGCTATATTCCATGTTCTATAAATTGTTCCTCCACTTTTAGAGTCATTGGGATACTCAATGCTGGAGGGAAGATAATTTCCAGGCAAGGATGGCTCAAATTAACACAACCGGGCAATCTCTGAAGCCCACACAGATGCCTTTGCAACTTCTGAAGACCTCTTGGCCTGCTGTTCCTTCTCCTTCCTCTTCCAATCAAGGATAAGGGATCATAGATATTGACTTTTCTGACTTTGTCCTTCGAGTGTTCACTTTTATCAAGTGAACAGGCAGCAGCCACGGCTAAATTGAGGAAGGGTCATCTAGCGAGGTTCTGTTCCTTTGCACGATGCACTTGGATGTGTCATTGTGGTTGAAGAATAAAGGGGGGAAAAACTTTTGGGGGCACATTAAAGGTCTGAAGAACATACCTCAGGCATGTTCCTTTTTTGGGATGGCTTCTCCAGTCACAAAATGGCTGCTACAATAGGTGTTCAATCAGTTCGAAAGACCCATTTACTCAAAGCTGTTGAGGTTGCTGCAAGTATCCACTCATTTAATTTCCTACAAATGGGGGGGGGGGAACCCATGTTTGTCCCAGAAGCCTTTTCGTTAAATAAAGACCTCATGCTTGTGTTATTGTGTTTCGTTGCAGGATGCCAATCTTCCCATGGAGTTATCCTACACATACTTAAAATAAACCGGAAGCTCATAATATAAAAGCGATCTACTTTAATTCTCAAGGTAGGCATGACCTCAACCTTTGTCCTGTCACCTTTTCCAATTTCTTCCCTGCAAGCCAAAGAGATGGATTCATTTGTGCGTGTGTGTGTGTGTGCAAAGCATGGAACAAAACACCGTGGTGGTTTTTTTCAAGGGTGGGGAGAGATGTGTTTTTCGGTTGTGCCACGTAGCAAAGAACATGTTTGCTCCCTCTTCTGCAGGCTTCTTTCCTTTCCTAAGTCAGTGGTCCTTTCACACAGTTTCACTTCCTTTTCTGGAGATGTTTGTGAGCCTCGCTCCAGTTTCTGATTTGCTCTTTGCAAGAGAAAAGGCCTAATTTTAGAACTGGGAGTTCCCCCCTCCCCTTGCCCACACAGCTGCAGAGAAAGCCAGGTGGGCTAAGAGAGTGAGGGACACTGTATCCCTTGGTAGGATTCAGTATTGATCTTTCTTCAGAGAGAATTGGCTGGTTCTTTTTTAAAAATATGGATTAAGCAATGAATCCCGTGGAACTACTTAGGGCAGTTGAAGGAAAACTCTTAAGAAAATACAGGAACAACAAATTATCTTGGGGGGGGGAGGTGCCCACCACCACAAAAAGCATCAAATTCTTCTAAGCAGGAACTTAGACCCTTTTTTAAAAGTCCCCTTCCATCTTGATGCAATGAGTTTAACTGATGTAGTAACAAAACCTAGCAACTGCTTTCTCACAATACGTTCATCTTCCTTAGATTTAACACTAGTTCGTTTTCCTGTAGCTGGATAAGTTGTAAGAATTAGGCAGTTGGGTCACTTTATGGCACATAGTATTCTAGGATTCTGTGGTAGGGTTGAGATTACATATGGATTAAACTCAGTGTAAGCACCATGCAGTTTTTCTAGGTCCAAGAAAACCAGCAACCACTACCCAACTCCAGGTTGGTCTAGTCTAGTCCAGTGTTCCTCAACGAAGATTGTGGACTTCAGCTTCCAGAATTCTCCGGCCACTTGCTTGAAGTTCCAAAAGTGCTTTTTTAAAGAGGCAACTGCACTTCCTTGTTTTTCTTTGAAGCTGTTTTGCTTCTCATCCAAGAAGCTTCTTCAGCTTGGATGCTGGCTGGGGAATTCTGGAAGTTGAAGGCCACAGATCTTCAGGTAGGCAAGGTTCTGAGCTTCTTCTTGGATGAGAAGCGAAACATCTTTAAAGAAAAACAAGGAAGTCCCATTGCCTCTTGGAAAAGCACCTTTGGGACAACTATGACCTAGAGGACTGAGAAACTCCGTAGACACTTGCTTGACGTTCACACACCTTCCAGCCACCAAAGTTGAGAAAGAAGAGAACATTTGTTAGCTCAGGGTTGAATTGTGATGTTCTGAGCTTGGTTGTTCAAGAACACTGCTGTAGTCTAACACACCGTGTGAACTAGGCTTATAAGATAATCAGAGTGGTCCAGTGATGATGGTGTTGGACCACAAAGAAGATGGCTCATATCTAGCCTCTCCTTGGTAGCTCCTGGGTGACTTTGGAGAATGTGACTGGGCTAAAATCGTCTAGAGGGGTTTCTGGTTCAGAAAAAAAATGGGGTTCACAAGACTTGCAAGTGTTTCTTCTTAGCAGTGACGATCAGATAGCATGTACCAATGTTGGAAATATTCATTGCTAAACTATGATGCTTTTTTAGCTTGGATGGCTTTAAAAGAAGGTTGCATCTTTCGCTACTTGAAGACATGTGGCCTTCAACTCCCAGAATTCCCCAATCACCACTGGTATAGATCAAGACAGAATAGTGTGGTCAATTGGTTATTAGTCTGGCCATGTCTCTGTTGTAGTCTATACAAGGACAATAATTAGTTTCATGTGGATCATTTCATTATGAACCTATTACATTAAATTTTCCGTCTTCTGAAGGACACCATTAATTGGGAAGGCTTGCTGGGCAAGTGGAAAATGACCATTGTTTTCCAGACTTTGCAAGGGATTCAATGCTTATTTTTAACTGATCCCGTTTCTTTGATTCTTAGAAAAAAAAATGCTAAATCCTACTTGCTTCAGTTAGTCTTCAGTTAGTCTTTTAAATGTCTTTTCTTTCTGGCTGTTCGTGGCTGTTTGTGGTTTCTCTACAGGGTATGTGTTGTTTTAGCAGAGAAGGAAGTATAAAAATACCCACTGCATTAATTTATGCCTGCCTTCTTACCCTTCAAAATATTTCAAGTGGCAACTTTTCTAAAGTCAGATGGTGCCACAATAAAAAAAACAACAATTAAACAAGAAAGCAAACAACAACAACAAAAATAGGTTGGCTCTGTGGATTAAAATAACAAGGCAGGCAACAATATTAGTAAAATGAAGCAGTCTTGCAAATAATATGAGTCGCTTTTCAGAGGTGATGGGTAGCAGAAAAAAAAATAAATAAACAAAAAACAAATAAACGAGCAACAATGTTTGATCATTTGAAGAGCAGCAAAATCCTTGCCTTTTTTTTTTTTTAGCTGCTAAAAATGGGAAGAAAGAGGTTTCCATTCCATGATCATGAGAAGTGGGCAACCCAAAGCAAAGTAGCATTGCTTAGAAAACCTTGTTACTGGTTATTAATTGCAATGTCTGGAAAAACAGAATAACAGAACCACAAGTTGGAGGGGACTCTGGAGGTCTTCTAGTCCAACCTCTTCAGTTCTAACTAACTGGTGGGAACTTCATCTATATCTGGAGGGTGAGCCAAGCAACTTCAACAAATCTTATTGGAACAGGTTTGTCAGTGTTCAAAATAGCTTAGTTTACTCCCTGGAGTACATATATCAAGATGATGAGTCTTGTTATCAAAGTAGCTTGGTCTACTCCATGGACCACAGATGACACATCTTGAGATCTTTTTCTCTCTCTCATCACAGTTTATCATGACTTATTTCCAAAGGTGCATTTCTAAAAAGCAACTGGATTTTCTTGGTTTTTTTTTCCTTTAAAAATGTTTTGCTTCTCATCCAAAAAGCTTCTTCAGTTCTAACTGACTGGTGGGGAATGGAAAGGTTTATAAAGTTCCCCACCAGTCAGTTAGAACTGAAGAAGCTTCTTGGATGAGAGGTGAAAGATTTTCAGAGAGAGAAAAACCAAGAAAGTCCACTTGCCTTTTAGAAAAGCATCTTTGGGATAACCGTGACCGGGATGATGGAGAATCTCCATAGACACATCTTACTTTTTTTTATTTATTTTAAGGTCTTGCACAGTCTCTCCTATGTTGCTTTCTACTGATTCTTCTCATATCTTGGGTGGTAATGGACGGGTCTATTTTGGGAGTGAAAATGTTGCTTCGGTTACAAGTCCTTTCCATCCATGACTTTGTGCTCACAACTATTCATGCAGCTCGCAGCTGCTCACATCAATGCCAACGGAAATCCACTGAAACTAACCATCAGTGGTGATTTTTTCCCCCCTCCTTAATCAACTTCACCATGATGCATCAGCAACTGCCTTTGGTACCTAACCAAGAATCAGGAACAATACTTGTCTCTAAACTGAGTAGGAAATGTCAGCAAGAACCACAGATGCTTAGATGACCATCTTGTTCTGACTGAATGGGACAAGAGTCACAAAGACCAAGAGTGACTTCTCTTGTTGCCCTTGTAGTTTGTTTCTTTGCATGTAAACCCAACATGGAGGTGGAGAACCTAGGATCCTTCACAAATGGTTGAGCTATATTTTTCAACATCTTTCACCACTAGCTTTGTTGACTGAGAAGATTGGGAATTGAAATTTGATAATTCTGGAATAACAACAACAACAACAACAGCAACAACAACAACAACAACAACAATAATAATAATAATAATAATAATAATACCATCAAACATCCACATCTGCCTATCCCAGGTCCTGGGTAAGGACTCAATAGGTAGACAAAATGCCAAATCCAGTCTGAACATCTGGCTGACTGTGCGATGATCAATAATAATAATAATAATAAAGTTGGAAGGGACCTTGGAGGTCATCTAGTCCAACCCCCTGCTCAGGCAGGAAACCCTATACCATTTTGGACAAATGGCTGTCCAGTCTCTTCTTAAAAACTTCCAGTGTTGGAGCATTCACCGCTTCTGGAGGCAGGTTGTTCCACTAGTTAATTGTTCTCACTGTCAGGAAGTTTCTCCTTAGTTCTAGGTTGCTTCTCTCTTTGGTTAGTTTCCACCCGTTGCTTCTTGTCTTGCCTTCAGGCGCTTTGGAAAATAGCTTGACTCCCTCTTCTTTGGGGCAGCCCCTGAAGTTTGCTGGAGATCAGTCATGGGCCCTACTAGGGACCCAGAAGCACATTTGTGTGGACAGCTTGATCCCATGTTAATGCAGCAAAAAATGATCTCCCAAAGCTAAACTGATACATTTCTTTTTGTGGAGTTGTTTTTTATTATTATTCGTATGCTGATAATGCCCCCTTTTTTATGTCCTATCGTACCTAGTAAGAAAATCATGACATTTAACTTAGTTATTGAAAATCTGATATACTAAGGAAGGCATGCTCAAAATTCTTCAAGAATGGGGTTGAAATTCGTACTTTTACTGGCCAAAAATAAATATTCATAGGAGTTGCTCATCCATCCTGCTTGAAAAGATTTATTAAAACTTGAGCAGTGAATTCTATTTTCGCTGTTTAATTTTATGAGCAGATAGATAAACCAGGAGGATTTTTTTAAAAAATGATATACGTCAAGATTGTCCTGGTCAATTTGAAACACTTTATGTTGGTTTTAATGTGCCTGATTGGCATGTGGGCTTAAGCTTCCCTATTGATATCAGTGATGGAAAAAACAAACCTTAATGTTGGTATTACTGTGCCAGCCTATTAAATTAAAATATTAAAATGTCTTGATCTTTATGTATGTTACGGAAGCCTCAACCTGACTAGGTAACTGTCAAGAAAGAGCTGAATAGAGATTAAGGAAAAGGGGACACAATTTTTGATTTGCAATCTTAACTTATAATTGCTTCCTTGAGATCACACATTCCCTCTGTTTCAACATACAGATGTTTCAATGTCCTCATTGGGCATCTGGATATTTTTGAACCTTGAACAGCAGAAATTCATAAGAGAAGTCTCTGCCATTATTGCTTGGGTTACACACCCTGCTAAGCTGTAATTATGGTTTGCAAGCCAACTCTGGTTCATAAAACACAGTAAGCTGAAATCAACCAGACTGAACGTTGACTTTGAGTGTTCTTTGAACCCAACAATATCATAGGAAGCTTATATCTCCTATAAATGATGACAAAGCTATTATCAGTTAATATTTTTCAATCTGGACCAAATGCCCAGAAAATCTTCTCAATGTCCTCTCTGTATTTTGGCATAAGTATCCAGTCCTCGTTGATCGTACGGAACCCAACCATCAGAAGCAATTTTAGCTGCTTCCAATGATCTCACCAAATTTGAAGCAAAGAAATCCAGGTTTTGGGTGGGAGTTCTGATCTTCCATCACTGTCTCAATCTGGAGTTCTTCATGTAATAGTTTAAGAAGCAGCTACCAGAATAAGCAGTGAGAAACAGCTCACTCTCGTTCTGATTTCACGAGAAGCTGAAACTGGGAAAGAGGATGTTTCATAATTAAAAAAGCCCTCTCTGCTTTAGAATATCTACACCACTAGAATCTTACAAAAGTCCTAAAGCGACTGAACATAATTAAGTGGAATGAAAACCTCTAGAGTGGGGATTCTTTTGGAGAATATGCCTCGGAAAGATTTTTTTTTAACTCTACAGTGAAATTTTGCCCGTGAAAAGATGTGATCTCAGAATATAGAACATAGAAGCTAGAAGGGATCTTGAAGGAGTCTCTCCATCTTGGATAAATGGTTGTCCAGTCTCTTCTTGAAAATCTCCAATGATGGAGCACGCATAATTCCAGGAGGCAAGCTACTCCATGGATTAATTGTTCTCACTGTCAGAAAATTCCTCCTTAGTTCCATATTGGGTATATCTAGTTTTAATTGGGTATGTCTAGTTTAATGAAGAGAAGGACGAGGGGGGACATGATAGCAATGTTCCAATATCTCAGGGGCTGCCCCAAAGAAGAAGGAGTCAAGCTATTCTCCAAAGCGCCTGAAGGCAGGACAAGAAGCAACGGATGGAAACTAATCGAGGAGAGAAGCAACCTAGAACTAAGGAGAAATTTCCTGATTGTTAGAACCATTAACCAGTGGAACAACCTGCCTCCAGAAGTGGTGAATGCTCCAACTCTGGAAGCTTTTAAGAAGAAACTGGACAGCCATTTGTCTGAAATGGTATAGGGTTTCCTGCCTGAGCAGGGGGTTGGACTAGATGACCACCAAGGTCCCTTCCAACTCTATTCTATGTTCTATGTATTATTTAGTGTATTATATTTGCTATTGCAATTCATGAAGTAATGACTGAAGCTATCTTTAATTATCCTGCTGAGTCAAGAGATACTTTTAAGAGGTATACATTAGGTCTATTTTTTTTTAGGTGTATAAGGGTCACTTCCTTTCCAACCTTTATCTGTTGCATGGTGGATTCCAAGAATTTCAACTTTCATTCCAAAATCAAATAACTTCCAAGGGATTAGAATAATTCTGTTTCCAATTGTGGTTATAAGTCAGGGGCTCTCTTATTCCATTTTTCATGGTACAATCCTCTTTCTCTGGAACCGTGCATGCTTCATGGCTTCCAAACCTTTAATTAAATCCAAAAGAGACATTCTGTTTCAACTGGGAATGGATTTTTCCAACTATACATAGGTATGCATCATCAGAAATGCTATGGAGTTACGGGAAACTAAGGACAGAACATCCCTTCTACCATCTCTCAAATCAGTTTAAAAGTTCCATGATGGGAAAGGAGAAATTCTCAAACACTCTAAGAATAGGGTAGAAAAGCAGAGACACCTTTTGCAGAAGAAGGCAGTTTACGACAAAATCTCCATATAGATTTTGGAACAGTAATTACTATGATTCTACTGACTCAGCTATATTTACATCTGAATACTGTCCTGTCCTTGGACTTGTAGAGTCTGAATTTTTTCTAATTATACTTCAAAATTCTATGTCTTCAACAAAGAAGTGATTCTATAGATAAGGGTTTTGACCAAAAAGAGTAATATGACCTAGAACTTGTCAAGTTAGTCTAGAAGAGATGTCCATTGCAATAAATGATCTCCAGCTGAAATTAGTATGTTATTGATTAACTATGCATTTTTGAAATATGTGAATCCTAAATGAAATAAAGACGACCTTGATATCAAGTTGAAGACAGAGAAAGAAAAGAGAGCAAAGTGTTAATGAAGCCAAAGAGCACTATTAATTAGTGACCTATAAATAAGTGACAATAGATTGATTGTCCCTCTGAAGATGAACCACAGTGACACACCTTAGTACAAAAACCTACCTTTACTTCATTGAAGATTTCAACAGTAGATCACTGAAACCTACTGGGGTCAACAACTGATCAGTCTTGATCTTACCTAGCATTCAAGTAGACTCTTGAAGAACAATTGTTGATACTCTTCAAGTTTTCTAAACAATCATAATTCCACAGAGAATTTAGGAATGAAAAAAAAGTGTACTTACTTCATTGGTGTGGCCTTCTATGATCACAATTCACCATCGGTGTAGATCCAGTCTCAACTGGAGATGATGCCTTTATGACTGGAAGAAACATAGAAGACCTGTACAGTTTATCAATGCATATGGAAGAACCCAATCTAAGAGACGTACAATATGTTTCTCTAGTGAAGTCTGACTCATATCTTTGTAGGGTGTTTTGTTCAGATGGTTTCTTATAAATCAAATCTAATGTGCTAGACCATTGTTTGTGAAGTGCTGGTTAACCCTTGGGAGGGGGGGTGTCAATGCTAATTAATTAAACAATGCATTTAGTGGCAGAAGATTATAGTTTTTTGTATAAAACAAAGGCATGTGGCTCCAGTAATGAATTGTTCTGTTCCTGGAATTCATGGGAAGAATGTCAGTTTGCATTGTTTTTATGGAATTTTGTTGATGTCCATGTCCATCTGGACGTCTTCTGAAATCTCTGGAGATGTCTGTTAAACTGTGACTTCCATAGCCCTTCGTAAATGTAGCATTTTTATAAATAGACTTATGAGGAGATGACCATCGGGCATCCATTATAATGGATCCATGGCATTTGACTGTCCACCCGAAAGAGGTCAAATAGGTTCCCATAAATTTCATTGGTGATCTTTTATGAGAGACCTACAGCTAAGCTAAGAAGTTAATGGCCTCAGAAGAATGGAGATATCCCTGGAGATAGCCCAAACACCATGAAATTCATTATCCATAACCTTAGATGGAATATATATATATAAATGGCCACATTGTCTCCTATTGGAAAGATTTTAGCTTTTTGATCAATATTGAGCTCCAGAAGTGGTGACCTTTTTTGGAAGTTATTGGGGTTGGGACTGAGGGTAATTTGATGGACCTTTAGTACACGTCACCATTGCAATGATCATGTTCTCACATGAAATGTTCTCCTTGTGCTTCCAGGAAAACTCAGCTCTGACTAAAATCCAGATCCCCATTATTAGTAGTATTTGTATTTATTATCAGATTTATTAGTTGCCCATCAGTTTAGTACAATACTATGATCACCATAATACACATAGTATTGAAATCTGCCTATTCATAGAGTTCGTTTTTTCCAAAAGCATCCATTGATTGCTCAACCATAGCTAGGTTGCAGAAATTATCTAGGATAAATGTTGAATGTTGGGATCCTTGATTATATTTTTAATTGTGGTTTTGAATGATTTATTTGAGGCACACAGAGTCTTTCTGGAGTTAGGTAACTTTACAAAAGGCAATAATAATTCTATAAATAAAAATCTAGAACCCCATACTTTTTGCTTCTTTCGCCTTTATAAGATTAATTATTATAGGATTGGGATTATTTAATCCTATTCTATAGGATGAAGGACATAATAAGAATTCTTTACGTAAGGATTCATATGCTGGGTGCCTGGTGGCTTCTTTCACCTTTACAGGTCTGAGATTATTGCAGGATTGGGATTATTTAATCCTAATCTATAGGATTAAGGACGTAAGGAGAATTCTTTAAAAGGATTTATCTCATATACTGAGTGCCTAGTGGCTGTCCCTCCAGAAAAGCCCACCCCAAATGGTCCAAATCAAAAGTCAATGGGCAACGTAGAGAAGAGCAGGACCATAGATTAAACCCTTAATGATGTGGTCAGCTAATTTCTAGGTTGCCCTCGAAGGAAAGAATTAAGATAAACTTAATTAAGAAGTTGGAGAAGAGACAGTCTGAAGTTCAAATGAACTATTGTTCAGACTTGATTGCTTTTGGTCCAAGGATTACTTTAGATCATTGAAGAGCACCAGGTGTACCCATAAGTAGCTAAACCAAATCATCCCCACCCTTTAGGAGAAATGGCATTGCATTTAGAGATGGATGAAGATGCTGTGTATGTGAGTGAGATAATTTAAAAAAGCTCCATCAACATTTTCTTCTCTGCACCTTCTGGAAAATCTGGAACCCGAACTAAATTGGTTTTCACCACTAAGGGTTGTCCAACTAAGCGTGTATCTTGGATCTGATGAGCCCTTGAGAATGAAAGAGCCTTGACTTATGACCGCAGCTGAGCCCAACATTTGCTAAGTGAATTTTGCCCCGTTTTATAAGCTTTCTCGCCACAGTTGCTAAGTAAATCATTGCAGTTGTTAAGTTGCTTAACAACAGTTATTAAGTAAATCTTTGCTTGTCAGGAGGATCACATGACCCAAGGACACGGCAACCGTCATAAACATGAACCAGTTGCCAAGCATCCAAATTTTGATCGCGTGATCAGAAAAAATACTGCAAAGGTCTTAAGTGTGAAAAATGGTCGTCAGTCCCCTTTTTTCCAGTGCCATGGTAAATTCGAATGGTCACTAAACAAATTGTTCTAAGCTGAGGATTGCCTGTAGATTGATTTAGCAGAATTCAACATCTATTCTAAATGTAATTTCATAAAAACAGCAATAACAGCGAGAATGAAATGTACACATCTTTATTGAACTTCTAAAGGTAGAAACGAAGAGGACAAAGGGAGCTGGGTAGATTTCAAGGGTTTCAAGGCATTGGGAGGCTACAGACTGTAACTAGATGATGCAGAAATAGATGTTATTGATCAAACTAGAATCAGCAAAGGAAAAAAAAAAAAGAGAGAGAGAACCCTGGAGTAGGGTCAGAAGAATTCATGATGGAGTTAACAACTTCCGGACTTTGACACAGTCTTCACATGGGTGTTTTCTCCATGCCTCGCTTCACAGGTGTAAGCGTCATGTCTTTCATAATCCGATGCGCTCATTGTCAGGTAAAAACTGCTGGCAAAATATTTGTCACCTTGCTTATTGGCTTTGCTGGTCTCCACTCCAGAGGTGATCTCTTGATTATTGTCACCCTTCCATTTCAGGGTAAAGCCAGGTGGGTAAAAGTTGCTTAAGAGACACACCATGGTGGCCTTATCCAGGCTTTTGATCTCTTCCTGAGATGGAATATAGGCATTCAAAGTAGGTGATACTGTGGGTTGACCTGGAAGAAGAGAAATCATTTTAAGCTTTGAGGAATAAGAGCAAAGCCTGATCAGATTCGTAGGCACATTTCAGTCCAATCCTAAATCCATAGGCAAGTTGGAGACCCATAACTGTGTTCAGCTCTTGGGCCTCTTTTTTTTTTTTTGTTCTTGTTTTTCAATTACCCAGGTAATCATTATTTTTGAAGAATCTCGGGACACAACAAAGCATCTCAAAATGGACATTCAGACAGGGCTTTGATAAGGAAGTCAGATTTATTGTGTAAAAACCCAATTGCTTATGTAAAATCAATTAAGGCAGAAACCTCCTTGAGATACAAGTCAGAACTTACTTTCAAAAGGAAAAATACTTAAGAGATAACAGGTGACCATTTTGAATTATTTCTACCTGAAATATTATTCCCAGACAAGGTATGGTGACATTGAAAAGCAGTCAGGAAAGTAATAATCTGAAAAATAACATCTGGAGCTAGACTAGTAAGTGCTTAGAGATAATGAGAGCCCTCTATCAAGTAAGTAAGTTCTTGTAGCTGAAGAGCGTTGGAAAATAAAGAAAAAAAATTATGATGCAAAAAATAGTTTGGTCCAAACTAATTGATAACGATAAGAATATCTTAGGGTGATGGATTGGAGAAAGCTGATCCTTCTTAAGGAGTATTCAGAATGCCGGTTTTGCTCCCAGCTACTTGGATCTCAGAAAGAGTCCTTTAGTCCTCTTGTAAAGTACCTTCTAAACCTGGAATTGAATTGGTAACGCAACTCTGCTGACTCTGTGATTGCTCCAGACTTTTCACAACTCAGACAACTCAACTTTTCTATGGCATTAATGAAAACACTCTACCATTTCCTGGCTAAGGACCTTCTTCTCAACATGCTGATTTTGTACATGCAGGAATGTTCATTCCCAGTGAATGAAAGAGTTTATCTTGTTAAGGTCTGCTAGACCAAGAAAAAGAGGAAAAAAGTCATGGAGAAGCTTTACAAAATGCTATGGAGAAGGAAAGATTAGAAGGATAAATGGACTTACCTGTGACGGTTAATTGGGTTCCACCTCCGAAGATGAACCACGGTGACATATGGCCATACAAAAACCTCCCCTCATTTTCACGACAGTTCATTGAAGATAGATCCCACCTTGGACAATGAACTGGGTTTCATAAAAGTTCAAAATGGATCTGGAGCAAACGTCGTATTCCGGAAGAACAAAAATGATGAGGTGTGAGTGGTTCATACTTGGACATCACGGAAGCCATTCGTGGACAAGGAGATCATTCAAGAAAATCCAATGGATGCAGTCCCACTGATAAGTGAAGAAAACAGGACAGATTAGAGCCATCGTTCATTTTTACACTGAATTATACAGAAGAGTCACAAAATAGCTTCTAGTGATATAGCCAGTTGTAGAACACTGAGAAGTGTTGGCACTTTTGTCTAAATTAAAGTGGTTTCTTATAAATTAAGGCACTAGATCATTTTGGGGTGTAAGGACCTCCCTAATTATCAGTAGGAAAACTCTTCCAGAAACTTATTTTAATTAATCATATAATGAACATGTTGGCAGCCCAGGGAAGGTTATACCTGGGTTTTTATTAACTAAAATTCAGGAGACATACTGTAATTTCCACTAAAAGCATAACTTTCTACTGGAATTCATGGGGAATGGATCAACCTTTACATTCCTTCTGTGGGCAGTTCCTCTTTGTGTGTTCATTTGTCTTCTTATGGCCTTAGTTGTACAGGTGCTGAAATGTCAGTTCCATAGTTGTGCATGCAGCAGGCTATCGGGAATTAATTTATTTCTGATTAAAATTTATTTATTTTATTTATTTAAAACATGTATATAGCCTTGTGGCTTCCAACTGATATATCTAGTCTATCTGAATTCCATCTGTTTCAAGACAAACAGGTTGTGATTACTTAGGACAATATCCATAGATTTATGCTGGAGCACATGTGAATTGGGACTGAAAACTTGGAAAAAAATGAAATTCACGGAATGGTAATGTCATTATTGATCAGCGGGATGGCTATGTGTAGTATTGGCTACCATGTTGTTGTGATGCTAACTGGAGAGGCTTGTACTCCATCAGCTTTATCTAGTAGATCTTAGGAAGGAGAATAAAATCGTGCAAATTCTTTGGGCAAAGTTAAAGAAAGGCTTGATGACCCTTGATACATTTCATAATTTGATTGAGGATAGGTCACTGTATGGAATGCTACCCTTGAGATCCTTGTGGTCCATCCCTTAGGCATGAATAAGTCCTCCTGCCAGCCTAGAGGCCATGGCATTTGTAAAATCAAAAAGTCACTTGTGAAGTCTTTTCCTTAAACTTTGTTATGAAGAGGGATAATTTTACATTGAGGGGCTGCCTTATTGGCATTAAATGCCTATAGCAGCCTGGTTTGGAAACACCTAAAGCCTATCTTTATAAACTTGGTTGTTCCTAGTCTCTGAAGAAAGGATTCATAACAGTGTTTTTGTGTTTTCCAGGTCCAAAATAACACCATATTCCAGAAAGTGCATGCTGATTGTTAAATGAGGTGAACTTCCATGTGATGAAAGGCGTTTGGTATAGACATGAGAGGTCGTAGATGTTCTAGAAGTTCTTCTAGATCTGAAAAGTAAGATTACCCTCAGCCCAGCCTAACCTCCAAATAGTTCCTGATTGGTTATCCTAGACACCATACAATCTAAACATGATCTATCATTGTTTCTCATCCATCTGGTACCTTTGAGATATGTTGGGTCAGCAATTTCCAAAATTCCAATACCCCATGACCAATTTAATACATTCCAGTAAAGTTGAAGACACTTATGAAAAATGTCTCATTCCTAGCACAATAATGCATGGTGATATCCTCATGTTCATCAGGTCCTGAGCAACAGTGATAGAGTGTGACTTTTAATCTTGGAATCTTTTTCCCAGATCAGGTTACTAACTGGATTTCTGTGTTTAAAAAAGCTTAAGCATCTGAGGAGACAGGGGGAAAGCTTGCGTTTTCATTAAAGAATGTTTAGATTTCATAGGCGGTTTCTCGTGATGGTAAAATGTGGAAAGCCTAATTTATGCTGCCTTCATGGACACAGAGAAGCTAAAAACTGTAGGTGGGAAATCAAAATCTTAATTCAACCCACTCTGGCCCCAGGTTTTATCCTATACATTCCCAGGTCTACTATCCTCAATGTAATACACTATCATTTGGAACCAGAGGGGGAATAACTTGTGTGAGTGGATAAATATAGAAAAACTTCACGGCATCTGAAACTAGATGTGCCCTTTCTTCAATGACAACGGATTCAGCTCTCTCCTTCTTAATATTGGAGCTGGCTGATATCTGTGAGGAACAAAATGTTGAAACCATAAAGCCTTGTCTTCCCACAACTACTCCTCTTAATAAATTCGGCAAAACAATCACACAAATGAAATACATCCATCTTTATTAATGTGCTGACAGTAGAATCTAGCAGATCAAGAGGGGGGAATCGGTTTGAAGGGCGAAGGCATGGAGGGGATACAAAGAGTGTAGCTACATGGGATTGAAAGAGACACTATGGATCACACTAAAGTTTAGGAAAGAATGAATGAGACCCCAAGAGAAGGGACCCCTGTCTCCTGCCGAATGGCAGGAGAGGATACATGACGGAGTTAACAACTTCCAGATTTTGACACGCTCTTCACAATGGTCTTTCCTTCATGCGTCACTTGACAGGTGAAAGTGCCATATTTTTCATAGTCAGACGCACTCAGTTTCATGTAACTGCTGGCAAGGTATTTGTCCCCTTGCTTGGTGGCCTTGGCTGTCTCCACTCCAGATGTTATCACTTTATCATCACACTTCCATTGCAGGTCAAAATTACGTGGGTAAAATTCGCTGATGAGACAGACCACAGTATGTGGGTTCGGGCTTCTGATCTCTTCCTGGGAAGGAGCAAAGACTTGCACCGAAGGAGATACGGTGGGCTGACCTGGAAGAGAGGAAGATCTCATGAAGTTCTACACTGCATCTTAAAACTTCAACACAATATTGACAGGGTAACTAGATTGATAAATATATAGACAGTTTTCCTCATCAAGACAGCAGGGGAGAGAAACATCAAGGCAAACTTTTTCAGAATAGTGTTTGATATTCCATTGTTGCAGTCTACCAACAATTCTTTTAGTTACTTCTGTGAAACACTAAGATTTTCACCAGAAATTCTATGAGTAATATTTCTTACAGAGTCTCACTGTTATTTTTTACATCTGTTTCTCTTACAAGAACATTTGGAAGAGCAATAACTTTCTGATGACCTTGAACCTTACTTGAGTAACCATTATTTTTCTGTGCAATTAGTAGAAGACAGAGAAGACTGCATCAACAGAACATCTGGACAACAGCATGCCTTAGGGAGATGTACAGCTTGTAAATGGGTTTAACTATACCAATTATGAATTAGAATTGTTGAATTTTTTTCTCTCTACCACGCCAGAAGATTAGAAACTTAAGAGACTTCTGTATATTCAGATTCTCACTCCCCTGCTGGTTTCTCTCCCTACATGTGTGAGTTTCAGAGAGAAGAGCAATAAATTATTTTTAGTTCCTGAATGCAGTGATGTTCCACAGTGGAACAGTCGATCACATGACCTCCTATCAAAAAGCAAGAATCTTTCTCCTGGGAATCACATTTTTATTACATAAGAGAATTAAAGGACAGAAACAGAGTTGACATTCATAGCAAGTATACCTCTCTTGGAAGTCAACCCAACTTTCTAAGAGCATTTAATGTCAAAGAAAAGGTGGTCCAATTTCCCAACCCAGATTTTTTTCCGACATTTTGTGGAGAACCTCTTAGAGAAGAGAATCCAATTTATGTTAGATTCCAACTTCATGAGCGATGACTTGAAAACTCATTCTAAGTTGGTCCCTATAATCCAAAATTGATAAAATGTTCTTCTGATCTCCTTATTCCAAGTCATCAGATTGAAAGAATACATATGACATGCATGCTACCAGACGTCTCTCACAAAATACATCTTACATTTAATAGGATGTTACTTATTTTTCCCACTCAGCTGATCAATTATTTAAGGACTCTTCTCAAATTATGCTTTGAAAGAAATATTTAGGATTTAAATTGTCTATCATTTGTTTAACATATGAAGGAGAAAAAGAGAAGAATTCTGAACATCTGGAAAAAGAGATGACGTGAAACTTGGTAGTCCATTGCTTGCCTATTGTATTATTTATTTGAGATTAATGGTTTTGAATTTAAGGCTTATCCCAATGGCTAAATGTTTATGGTTTGATATGAAGGTGGTTGATCATAGTTTGGACAAAATAGAAAAAGACAATTTGACCAAACTCCTATATGACTTGCTAAAATGAAAGTTGGATGGGCCATCATTCTACCACAAGGGATCAATGCCGCTTCTGTTTCCCTTCACAATCATACCACATTCATTAACCCCTTTAAAGGTTGTTTAGGAAAGACCCCAACAACTGAGAAATGGATGGTTCATTCCCATAGCCACTTCTGCAAAGTTAAGCCAAGGAGAAATGGTGTCCTCTGAACCTGTGGCTGGTATCTTCTCATATTCATATGCTATCTATATAATATTATACATCATATCCATATGGTAGCTCTTATGCACAGAATCAGAGAGATGCTCACCCCTGCATCTGAAACATTTCTCTAGGGGTTACTTTTGTGACAGAATCTGAATATTTTCCTGAAAGGCGGAGGTGCATAATTTGGACAATCACCATCATCGCTCTAAATCTAACCCTAGATCTACTGGTAGATCCTGCTGCAGATTCCCTTTCAATTAGAGGAAAACCACTGGCCAGAATCTATTGGAGTTGGGCGGCTATAGTAAAACTTGAACAAATAAAACAAGAAAAAATAAGAAAATATCAGGATACATTGACTGATTTTGGAATGAATGATGGACTGTTGATCAAACATTCCAACATTCCCTTGCAATTTTGATGTCTGATTTTTTTAAAAAATGACCCCAATATTTTTGACCCTTCTCTGCCATATCTCTCAATAGTTTAAGAAGATGGACCGCTTTGATGACCAAACAATCAAGCAATGTATCGTATTGATAAGGTATCATATCATACTTTGGCTTATTTAATTCTATCTGGAAAAATCTAACCACACAATGACAATATCAAACTTTCACTCAACCCCATTCTATTCCATTGAAAGGACTATATTACAAACTAATCTCTCAGTTTTTCTTTAACCGAAGAATAGCTACTCCTGAGTGTAAAAGTAGCCATAAGTAAGATTTCTGAAAACCTCATTGACCCTGATCATGAAAATCAAAGTGTACCTGGGAACACCGATGATAAATAACATAGATTTGAATTAACATAGATTTGACCTGGTGTGAATATTCAGTTCTTATTGAAAGTAATCACCATTGATGAATCAAAAGCAACCCTAAAATCAAAGGAGTTAAAGTGGATAAAAAGGAGGAAAAAGATGAAAAAAATGAAAATACCACATGCAGCAAGAGATCGATTAATTGACTTACCTGTGACGGTTAGCTGGGTCCCTCCTCCGAAGACATACCACAGTGATGCACAGCTATACAAAAACCTAGTGTCATTTCATAGCAAAAAAGTCACAGAGATTTTAAAGAGAAAAATCATAAACCTCTGTTTCATATTAGAACAGGACAGGAGATGTCCTTGATATGGTTATTTCAATTTTCTTAAATCCCATGGAGTGCATTTTTTTGGGGGGAAAAAAAGCCAATGGCCCATTTTCAGAGCAGTAAAAAACGGGCCTGTTGGTGTTTTATAAAGATCTCTGGATATAGAGAGATTTCTTGAAGATTGAGTTAAATGTAAGAAGCTCAAGTGTCTGCAGCTTTTTCACTTTAGCAAATATAAGCTATGTTTAAGAAGGCACGACAAGTTACTTTGTAGGTATCAAAATTTTGTCTATGCTCAAACTGTTTTTGATGAATTTAAGCCAGTGCACTAGATCTGTTGAGTAGATCCACCAGACATGGATCAGTTTTCTGATTCTGAATTATTTTTAATAAATGTCCTCAAGGTTGAAAGCTCAGTGAATCACGCAAGATAGATAGCTTTCAGTTTCTCGGGACACCTTATATGAGGAACACTTCCAAGAAGGCCCTAGACCATGGGTTATGCCTGCTGTTATTCAGATCTACCTGTTGAATTGCTAATAAGGACAACAGATTTTTCTACAATTCTCTACCTGCTTATTCGCAAGTTACCTTAACTGTAAATACAAGAGGTCATTCCTTGTTGTTAATATTGTGCCTTGTGTGGAGACTTGGAATGCTCCATTGTGACTGTGTGATGTCCTTGAGAAGGTGTACCTTCGTGGGAACTCTGGGATAGTTTGTAAAATAAGTTTTGAAATATGTAGAAGTGATAAACAATATCTTCTAAGATAACTCTGGTCTAGGTTTTTTTTTTTTTTTGAGCCACTTGGACCTGAAGAGACTCATAGATCTGAAAAGAATCTGGGATATTTAGATAGTTCCTTAAATGTTGAGTCCTTTTTTCCCCTTTCTTGTTTTGTCCTTAGGAAATGAGGAATTTGCTCTAATCTAGAAGTTGAGTCCTTTAAAACCATCCTCTGGACTTGAACTGTCAATCAGAGCTAAAACATCAATTCCTGAATCTGATAAACACCAGTCATGGTGGAGAGATGGAAGTTTTCTTATTAAATAACCAAAGCCCAGATGTTTTCAAACCAATGGCAAAATATTTATTTGTAGCCCTGCTTGCATCTTTCCATGATGGTCAACGTTTTTTTCCCCTTTTATTGTTAACTTTATAGCATTTTTTCCTTGTATATTTGTTTATAATGTTGCTTTTGGCATGAATTAATAGGTGTACTTTTACTATTTGTGACTTGAGAGATAGTAGATAGATGATAGATAGATAGATAGATAGATAGACAGACAGACAGACAGACAGACAGATAGATAGATGATAGATAGCTATAGATGCTAGATAGCTAGACAGACAGACAACAGACAGACACATAGATGATAGATGATAGATAGCTATAGATGCTAGATAGCTAGATAGCTAGACAGACAGACAGACAGACACAGACAGACAGACAGACAGACAGACAGACAGACAATAAGACTGAAATGTCCCATTCCATCCAATCCTATATATTGATGTCAGCTGGAGGACTGGTTAAAGTTATTGGAAGAATCTCTATGACCCCACATCTCCCTGAATCTGTTAGCATTACTACTAAAGAACAAGGCATTTTCATTTCATATATGTTTACAACACCACTTTTTGCATGAATTAAGGATATGGGTACTTTTACACTTTGTGACTTGAGAGATGGTAGTTCAACTATATATTCACTGTGTATCAGTTGGAGGACGAGGAGTTATTGGAAGGGCTGCCGTGAGCTCATATATTCCCAAATTTGCTAGCATTGCTACTAAAGGACAAGATATTTTCATTTGAAACTTGAGAAGCATTCATGTGTGAATGTATTGCAACATCCATGTAGGGTCCAAAACCAGATGATGGTTCTTGATATTCCCAAGAGAATCAGACCTAGGGTTTTTTTGGGTAACTGTTTAACTGGGCAAAATTGGACCTTGGAAACAGACTGCTTTTCCTTAAAGATAACCAAGTTTATATAGCTCTGTATTCTTGATGAATTTGATGAAACAATCACGCAAATGAAATACATCCATCTTTATTAATGTGCTGACAGTAGAATCTAGCAGATCAAGAGGGGGGAATCGGTTTGAAGGGCGAAGGCATGGAGGGGATACAAAGAGTGTAGCTACACGTGATAGAAGGAGACACTATGGATCACACTAAAGTTTAGGAAAGAATGAATGAGACCCCAAGAGAAGGGACCCCTGTCTCCTGCCGAATGGCAGGAGAGGATACATGACGGAGTTAACAACTTCCAGATTTTGACACGCTCTTCACAATGGTCTTTCCTTCATGCGTCACTTGACAGGTGAAAGTGCCATATTTTTCATAGTCAGACGCACTCAGTTTCATGTAACTGCTGGCAAGGTATTTGTCCCCTTGCTTGGTGGCCTTGGCTGTCTCCACTCCAGATGTTATCACTTTATCATCACACTTCCATTGCAGGTCAAAATTACGTGGGTAAAATTCGCTGATGAGACAGACCACAGTATGTGGGTTTGGGCTTCTGATCTCTTCCTGGGAAGGAGCAAAGACTTGCACCAAAGGAGATACGGTGGGCTGACCTGGAAGAGAGGAAGATCTCATGAAGTTCCACACTGAATCTTAAAACACAAGTAACTAGACTGATAAATGTATAGACAGTTTTCCTCATCAAGACTGCAGGGGAGGGAGTGGGGAAAACGTCAAGGCAACATTTCTCAAAATAATACGTTGATAAGATGGTAAAAATCATAAGACCCCCTTCTTAAGAGAGAGAAGAACATTATTTAAAAGTTAACACCACAAGGAGCTATTATGTACCATGGACAAAAGAGATTCCTATTGTTTGGTATAGGAGCCTAAATAAAACTTTTATTTTAAATGATTTGTTCTCCCAAATCATTGGCCGTCTACCAACAATTCTTGTAGTTAGTTCTTTCCATCAGAGTAAGATTTCCTGCATGTTCCCACTTAGGAATATCTGCAGGTATCCGCAGGGGAGTTACTTTCCAAAATTATTTCTCTTAGAAGAACATTTTGAAGAGGAAATAGTTTTCTGATTATTTTAATCTTGCTTGAGCAGCAATTATTTTTCTTTGCATTTTGTGGAGGAGAAATGGGACTGCATCAAGACAACATCTGGACAACAGCATTGCTTAGAGAGAAGTACAACTTGTAAATGAATTAGATTTTTTTTAGAAAAAAATTCTCTATCATGCCCGGAGGAAGATTAGAAACTAAGTACCTTCTGTCTATGCAGATTGCTTACCCCCATGTTGGTTTTTCTCTCTCTCTACATGTGTGAGTTTGAGAGAGAGGAAGAGAAATAAATTATTTTTAGTTCCTGAATGCAGTGATGTTCTTTCTCTGTGCTGGAATAGTCAACTATGTGAGCTGAAGTATGAATTCTTTTCCTAGGAAACACATTTTGACTGCACAAGAGAATTAAAGGGCAGAAATAGAGTTGAGTTTCATGGAATGCATTGATGCCAACCCAACTTTCCAGAAACATTCAAACTCAATGGTTCAAATGTTTAGAGCTGAGTTTCATGTCAACCCAACTTTCTAAGAACATTTAAACTCAATGCCAAAGAAAACATGGCCCAATCTCCTAATCCAGATTTCTTTTTACATTTTGTGCATCTCAAATGATCCTCTGAAAGAAATATATTGGATTTAAACTTTTTATCATTGGTTTAATGCATGCAGGAGAAAAATACCAAACTCTGAACATCTGCAAAAGAGATAACATCAAAATTTATAGTCCTTTACTTGCATACTATGTTACTTATCTGTGTTAAATAATTTGAATTTAAGTCTTGTCCCAATTTATCAATTTTGAGGGGAGTAAATGAGAATTATGGTGTGATGTGAAGGTGGTTGATCTTATTAGTTTGAAAAAAAAAAGGAAAAGACAATTCCAGCAAACGGCCATTTATCTTCCTATTGGAAACCCAACACATTAGTTAGATACCACTTTTGTTTCTTTCACAATCATACCATATTCATTTACCCCTTTGAAGGTTGTTTTGGAAGGGACCTCACAACTGAGAAATTCAGATTAATTCACATATCCATTTCTGCAAGTTTGAGCCATTGAGAAAACAATCCCCTCTGAATCTCTGGTTGTGGCTATCCAACCCATTTATCTACACAATCTGAGAGATGCTTATATCATTATAAAATTTCCCAGGTTGTGGCTGAATCTGAAAAAAATTGGCAGAGGTGAAGGTGCATAAATCTAACCCTAGATCTAATAGTAGATCCTGCAGAGGATCCCTTTTTCAATCAAAGGGAAATCCCAGCACGGAGTCCATTGAAGCTGGTGGTTACAAAAAAAATACACCTTGAATAAATAATTAAAACAAGAGAGAAAAAAAACAAGAAAACATCAGGATATGTAGTAAAGCTTTAACTCACTGCAATGGCTGATTTGGCTGTTGGAATGAATGATGGACAATTGATCAGACATTCCAACATTTTAATGTAATTTTGATGATGGAAGATTAAACTCTCTGCCTTGTCTTTCAGAGGCTGTAGGATGATGGAGACTTTTTTTAAAGCAAATGATAAAGCAAAAGAACAGATTGACCATGGATCATACTTCAGTTTACTTAATTCCACTTGGGAAATCTAAACACAGGGTGCTAAAGTCAAATCCCAGCCAATCCCATTCAGTTCCACTGAAGAGAACACAATACAAATTAATCTCTCTGTTTTCCTTTAATCCACAGAAAAAACTATGCCTGAGTATAAAAGTAGTGATCAGTGAGATTTCTCGGGATCTCATTGACCCTGATCTTGAAAATCAAAATATATCTGTGAACAGGAAAGACAAAACAATATAGATTCGAATCCACCTGTCCTGACTTGAGCTAAATGTTCAAAACATCACCACTGATGAATCAAAAGCAACCCTAAAATCAAAGTGCATGGAGCCAAAGTAGGAAAAGAGGAGGAAAAAAATGAAAAAATCACATGCAGAAAGAAAGATTTGGGATCAATTAATTGACTTACCTGTGACAGTTAGGTCGGTTCCTCCTCCGAACACCCACCACAGTGATACACAGCTGTACATAAACCTACTCTCTCTTGATGCTCTTGAGTAAGTGGTGAGTCTCCTTGACATGGTCATTTCAAGTCTTTTAAATCCCATGGAATGTATTTTGGAAAAAGAAACCAATGGTCCATTTTTGGAGTAGTAAAAGAAGGATTTGTTAGTGAACTTCAATTCTTGAAGCGATTCCTTTCTGGATGCAGGCAGATGGTAGATTCCTTCAAGACTATGTGAAAGAAGCCCAAGTGTCTGCAGCTTTGCCAGTTTAAAAAAATATAAACTATGCTTAAGAAGTGTGAAAAGTTACTTTGTAGGAACTGAAGTTTTGTCTATGCTGTAATTGTTTTGGATGGATTTCACCAATGCACTGGATCTGTTCTTGAAGTACAGTTTGATCACTGTAGTATGATTACTGTAGTCCATTGTTAAGAATAGTTTTCAGTAGATCCATCGGAAAATTGAACCCCAGGAAGTTTCTCCTTTATGATTCGGGCTCATCCAATTTAAATGTCCTTGACATTGAAAGCTCAGTGGATCATTCCAGATAGATAGCTTTAAATTTCTTGGGATACGTTATACGAGGAAGGCCCTGGACCATGGCTTCTGCCTGCTTATATTCAGATCTACCTGTTGAATTTCTAATAAGGACAATTGAGATTTTTCTGAATGAGTTACAATTCTCTACATGCTTATCTGAGGTTTCCTTAACTGTAAATATAAGAGATCATACCACGAAGTCAACATTATGTCTAGTATGGGGATTTTGACTGCTCCATTGTGATTGTGTGATGTCCTTTAGAATGTGTACTTTCATGAAAACTCTGGGTTAGGTTGTAAAATAACTTTTGAAATAGAGAGACAACTGAGATTTTTCTGGATGAGTTACAATTCTCTACATGCTTATCTATTTGTTGTTGTTAATTGCGAAGTCGTGTCCGACCCATCGCGACCCCATGGACAACGTTCCTCCAAGTCTTTCTGTCCTCTACCATCTTCTGGAGTCCATTTAAGTTCACACCTACTGCTTCAGTGACTCCATCCATGCTTATCTATACATAACTGTAAATACAAGAGGTCATATCTTGTTGTTAATATTGTGCCTTGTGTGGAGATTTGGAATGCTCCATTGTGCTTGTGTGATGACCTTTAGATTGGAAACGCTGGAATCGGTTGTAAAATAAGCTTTTACATATAGAGAGGATAGGGACAACATCTCCTAAGGTTTTAGATCTTCTTCCAGGGCCTTTTTCTGAGAGAGTGGAAATGCAATGTTTGAGACACTGCCCTTGGACCTAGAGTAATTCATAGGTCTGAAAAGAATCTGGGATGTCTAGGTGGATGCTTAAAACCCATCAATGCTTCTTCTCTTGTCTCTTGTTTCTTATTTTGTCCTCAGGGAATAAGGAATTAACTCTGAAGAATGACAAAAGAAACATCTTGTGAAGGGCTTGAGCAATATTCAACCAGACCAATGGAATATTAATATTCCCCAAATAGCTTTGAATTTGCAAGCAGTCTGTGTAAACAACTAAACCTGCCTTTGCATGTGGGTTTCCTAGCTAGATACTGGTTTGATGACACCTGATCAGTTTGCCATACGATGAGGTGAGTATGTATTTGCTCGAATCTAGAAGCCTACTTCATTTGTTTATTTAATTTATTTATTTATTAAATGTATTGGTGGGCCATCTTACCACAAGGTTTTTTTTTTAATTAAATAAAATGCCCTCTGTATTTGAACTGTGAATCAGAGCTAAAACACCAATTCCTGGATCTGATGAATCCCAATCATGATGAAGAGATAGAAGTATTCTTATTAAATGGCTAACACCCAGGTATTTTGAAGCCAATGGCCAAATATTTACTTCTAGACTTGCTTGGGCCCTTCCATGATTGTCAACGCGTTTTCCCCTTTTATATATGTTTGTAATACCACTTTTTGTATGAATTAAGGATATGGGGTGGATATGACTTGAGAGATAGTAGTTCAACTATATATTCACTGTGTATCAGTTGGAGGACGAGGAGTTATTGGAAGGGCTGCCGTGAGCTCATATATTCCCAAATCTGCTAGCATTGCTACTAAAGGACAAGATATTTTCATTTGAAACTTGAGAAGCATTCATGTGTGAATTTATTGCAACATCCATGTAGGGTCCAAAACCAGATGATGGTTCTTGATATTCCCAAGAGAATCAGACCTAGGGTTTTTTTGGGTAACTGTTTAACTGGGCAAAATTGGACCTTGGAAACAGACTGCTTTTCCTTAAAGATAACCAAGTTTATATAGCTCTGTATTCTTGATGAATTTGATGAAACAATCACGCAAATGAAATACATCCATCTTTATTAATGTGCTGACAGTAGAATCTAGCAGATCAAGAGGGGGGAATCGGTTTGAAGGGCGAAGGCATGGAGGGGATACAAAGAGTGTAACTACACGTGATAGAAGGAGACACTATGGATCACACTAAAGTTTAGGAAAGAATGAATGAGACCCCAAGAGAAGGGACCCCTGTCTCCTGCCGAATGGCAGGAGAGGATACATGACGGAGTTAACAACTTCCAGATTTTGACACGCTCTTCAAAATGGTCTTTCCTTCATGCGTCACTTGACAGGTGAAAGTGCCATATTTTTCATAGTCAGACGCACTCAGTTTCATGTAACTGCTGGCAAGGTATTTGTCCCCTTGCTTGGTGGCCTTGGCTGTCTCCACTCCAGATGTTATCACTTTATCATCACACTTCCATTGCAGGTCAAAATTACGTGGGTAAAATTCGCTGATGAGACAGACCACAGTATGTGGGTTTGGGCTTCTGATCTCTTCCTGGGAAGGAGCAAAGACTTGCACCGAAGGAGATACGGTGGGCTGACGTGGAAGAGAGGAAGATCTCATGAAGTTCCACACTGAATCTTAAAACACAAGTAACTAGATTGATAAATGTATAGACAGTTTCCCTCATCAAGACTGCAGGGGAGGGAGTGGGGAAAACGTCAAGGCAACATTTCTCAAAATAGTACGTTGATAAGATGGTAAAAATCATAAGACCCCCTTCTTAAGGGAGAGAAGAACATTATTTAAAAGTTAGAGGAGATATTTGGGTGACTTCCTTCGCACTCAGAAGGTAATTTTAACACCACAAGGAGCTATTATGTACCACGGACAAAAGAGATTCCTATTGTTTGGTATAGGAGCCTAAATAAAACTTTTATTTTAAATGATTTGTTCTCCCAAATCATTGGCAGTCTACCAACAATTCTTGTAGTTAGTTCTGTGAACCAGAAATTCTTTCCATCAGAGTAAGATTTCCTGCATGTTCCCACTTAGGAATATCTGCAGGTATTCGCAGGGGAGTTACTTTCCAAAATTATTTCTCTTAGAAGAACATTTTGAAGAGGAAATAGTTTTCTGATTATTTTAATCTTGCTTGAGCAGCAATTATTTTTCTTTGCATTTTGTGGAAGAGAAATGGGACTGCATCAAGACAACATCTGGACAACAGCATTGCTTAGAGAGAAGTACAACTTGTAAATGAATTAGATTTTTTTTTAGAAAAAAACTCTCATGCCCGGAGGAAGATTAGAAACTAAGTGCCTTCTGTCTATGCAGATTGCTTACCCCCATGTTGGTTTTTCTCTCTCTCTACATGTGTGAGTTTGAGAGAGAGGAAGAGAAATAAATTATTTTTAGTTCCTGAATGCAGTGATGTTCTTTCTCTGTGCTGGAATAGTCAACTATGTGAGCTGAAGTATGAATCCTTTTCCTAGGAAACACATTTTGACTGCACAAGAGAATTAAAGGGCAGAAATAGAGTTGAGTTTCATGGAATGCATTGATGCCAACCCAACTTTCCAGAAACATTCATACTCAATGGTTCAAATGTTTAGAGCTGAGTTTCATGTCAACCCAACTTTCTAAGAACATTTAAAATCAATGCCAAAGAAAACATGGCCCAATCTCCTAATCCAGATTTCTTTTTACATTTTGTGTATCTCAAATGATCCTCTGAAAGAAATATATTGGATTTAAACTTTTTATCATTGGTTTAATGCATGCAAGAGAAAAATAACCAAACTCTGAACATCTGCAAAAGAGATAACATCAAAATTTATAGTCCTTTACTTGCATACTATGTTACTTATCTGTGTTAAATAATTTGAATTTAAGTCTTGTCCCAATTTATCAATTTTGAGGGGAGTAAATGAGAATTATGGTGTGATGTGAAGGTGGTTGATCTTATTAGTTTGAAAAAAAAAAGGAAAAGACAATTCCAGCAAACGGCCGTTTATCTTCCTATTGGAAACCCAACACATTAGTTAGATACCACTTTTGTTTCTTTCACAATCATACCATATTCATTTACCCCTTTGAAGGTTGTTTTGGAAGGGACCTCAGAACTGAGAAATTCAGATTAATTCGCATATCCAGTTTTGCAAATTTGAACCATTGAGAAAACAATCCCTTCTGAATCTATAGTTGTGGCTATCCAACCCATTTATTTACACAATCTGAGAGATGCTTACATCATTATAAAATTTCCCAGGTTGTGGCTGAATCTGAAAAATTTGGTAGAGGTGAAGATGCATAAATCTAACCCTAGATCTAATAGTAGATCCTGCAGAGGATTCCTTTTTTAATCAAAGGGAAATATTATATAAATAGTGTTTTAAGATGATATACCTCAACTCTATGAACCAAAACATTAGTCACAGATCCTTTTAAAAAAAAAAGAATGATCAGTGCTGGACTTAACACAAATTCACAAATACTTGTCTAGGATTTATTTTCATAGGGGAAAAAAATCTACGGTATTTAGAACTTCAAAGATTATCTCAACCTTCCCTCATTTTATTCCTTCAGTTCAGATCTTAGCAGAAGGAATATTTGCAATTAGATAAAGAAATCTAAACATTCAAGCAAGGGAAAAGCTGAATTTTATTTAAGGTTACAAGTTCTATTTCTCTATTTTTTCAAAACTCCCTTTTGCCTTAAA